TACAAAAAAAAGTACATCTAAAAATGCTTGAGATGCAGATCATTGACATTTGAACAACGTAGAGAGTTAATCGAAAAAGGTTAAAAGATGTTTTAAACTCTTCCTAGGTTCAGAGGAATCAACAACACACAAACGTCGTATACGGATACATGCCAAACAACACAAGAAACATGTGATAGACGAGAATCTTTTTGTCATTTTAGAACTTAATTAAGGCACGCAATTGAAAACAGCACCAAGCGACCTTAAGCACTAAGCCGTCACGCCGCTCTAACAACCTTAAACCCTCAAAAGTATCAGATGACTACTCCGACATGTTAGAAGAGCCCTTGCTAGCATCTGCAAAAACAAACAATAAAATCTAACAGAATAACATCAAATGATGTACACTGCTGCAACAGTAGTTGTTGCAAAATTGACTAGAAGCAACTACAAAAACCTTCATTCTGTAAAGGATTAAAATAAAAGATGTAAATCAAAAATAATATTCTGGGACACAATAGATGTCACAACAATGGCGCTTGTTTGATCATACAAAAAAACGATAACTACTTCGATATCCATCTCTGAAACTGGAACGATAATTCAATGAAGGAAAAAAATCTGACAAAACCTTGCTAACTGGAAGGTTGGTTCCTAGTAAGAATCTGCAAAAAACTAAACTTAATTTAAGCACTGCCGTAGAAGCTATGACCAGTTTAAAAGAACTATGTAGCATCAAACCGTGACTCTGAAGCTGTCTGGTTCATCTGAATACCTTCAAACAACAAATCAACACAAACGGCAAAATGTTCGTCTAAATCCATTGTATTATGAGCATAGAAAAGAAACACAACTCAGCTCTTTTGAAAAGTTTAGAACAAAAACTTTCTTGCCTATCATTGACCAGTTCATCTTTTCTCTTAACTAACGTCTTTTGGCAAACAAAGATATATTGAGCAAATTTGGCCTGTTTAGCTGTTTAAAAAAACTGCTCTCAGATGAACCGAAAGTCACAGCAGGGCACCTTGTTAAAGTATATTCAACGGATTTAGACATCATATTTGTCGATGAATTTTGTCAGTATGTTTCATTTGTCAATAGATGGACAAAGAGCCAAATGATATCAGCGCCAAAATGTTTAGGTACAAGCTTATTATGTATAAAAGTGTGCAGTCTGGTTCATCTGAATACCTTCAAACAACAAATCAACACAAAATGTTCGTCTAAATCCGTTATTAACTAATATTGGAGCAAGGAATTAAATTAATGGAAAACCCATTAGGAACATCAATGAAGCAGAAGCGACTTGCAAATTTGGCCATAATGAGTATCGAATCGGATATAATGCGTGAATTAGGTTTTTAACGACATAATAAATGATTTTGCAGTCGAATAAAAAATTTCTGACTGGTTCCGATTCCCAGAAAAAATGTTCAACTTTTGCATCATAACTTCACCGTATTACTACTAAATTAAAATACTTTTAAAAACATTTAAAATCAGTCAAATTAATTGTTTCTCTTAGTAAAATTGCTTTACTTTTATGTTTTAAAACAACTGGAAAAAAGTGATTTGATTCAAATTATTATAATTTATTTTCAATAATATAGATAATTGCATATCGCTACGCAAATTTATCTTCCGAAAAACACGATCGAAAAAATTTCGAGCCAAAAAATAAATTTCTTTAAATTAACTTCGACTCTCTTTGGCCCCTAAAAAAATTCCGTCTCTGGCAAAAATCCCCGATTTCGGCCAACTGCAACTTCGGCCGACACTCTGGTAGTAGTCAACGACGATAAAGAAAATTTTAAGGATGAAATATATGATGATGATGTATGATATGAAATAATTTTATAATATGATAATGTTAATGAAGAATGATGATAATATTGATGATGATTGAAAAGATAGTAACAATAAAGACGAAAATGATTCAATGCTTATGAAGACGATGGTGAAAAGAATGATGATGACGATGATTAAAATAAGGGTAATGAAAAGAAGGCTGACTATGAAAACTTTAAAGATGATGATTAAGTTTTGAAGGATGATGATGATGGACTGGATGAGAATCAGCATAAAGAAGATCATGGTGATGATATATATATTTAATATATATATAATATATATATTATGATGGCGAAGAAAACAATAAGAATTATGGTAATGAAAATTATGATTGTGGTGGTGGTGATGATGATGGTGGTGGTGGTGATGATGATGGTGGTAATTAATACTTCGCTTCCACTTAGCAGTCCAAATGTCCGTGATATTCGAATCGGAAATATTTATTCATTCACTCGTTCGTTCACACGTTGCTTGTTTTTCAATTTGTTCTTTCATTCATTCATTCATTCGTTCGTTCGTTCGTTCGTTCGTTCGTTCGTTCGTTCGTTCGTTCGTTTATTTATTCAGTTGTTCATTCATTCTTTATTCATTCACCCATTTGTTTATTTATTTCTATATATTTTTTTCGTTTGTCTTATGATTTTGTTTGTTATTTTCATTTATTTAATTCACCAATTTATGGTTTCGTCATTTATTTACAATATTTTTATTCATTTTTTAGTTGTTTAATTTTTGTGCAATCATTCTCATTTGTTCGTTCGTTCATTCATTCATTCATTCATTCATTCATTCATTCATTCATTCATTCACATTCACTCACTCCCTCACTCACTCGTCACTCACTCACTCATTCATTCATTGGTTTACATAATTCACAGTGCAAAATTAATAAAACACTTTTCTTCAACATTACAAGCAACCATAAAACATACATCTGTGTTTAACTGAGGAGATGGAAGAAAAAAAAGAAAGAGAGAAAAAAGAAAGAAAGGGAAGGGAAAAAATAAAGAGAGAAAGAAAGAGAAATAGAGAGTATAAAATTGAAAAAGAATGGAGCGAGAATGACTAAATGGGAACAGCAAAGAGAAAAACAGAAATGTAAAAAAAATAAAAGAGAGAGAGAAAAAGAAAGAGAGAGAGAGAGAAAAATACTAAGAAAAACATATTATACGACTACATAAAATAAGATAACCAGCAATATGGCAGGGAAAAATTTGATAAAAAACCAAAGAGGAAACATTGAAATTTGAAGAAAAAATCACTAAAGAGAAAAATTGCCTGAAATGAACAGAGGGAGATGGAAATACTGAATAAAATCAGAAAAAAAAGATGGAGGAGAATGAAAAAAAAGAATGAAAGGGAGAGAAAGAAAGAATGAAGGAGAGGAAAAAAGAATGAAGGAGAGAAAAAAAAGGAAAGCAAGCGAGGAACACAAACTGTAGGACCATTCTTCATATTTTATTGATTTGTCGTATCTTTCTAAAAGACCCTTACAAATTTCTTTCTTTCTATATATAAATATATATATATAAAGTGTGAGTGTGTCATAAACATATATGTTAGTATAGTAGTTTTTATAAATTGTGATTTGTGTTGCTGACATGTTACCCGATATATATGAAATACGATGTATACATATATATATTCGTATGTGTGTGTGTGTGTCTGTGTGAGTTTGTGTGTGTATGCGTGTCAGCGTATGTGTATGTATTATTCTGAAAATATACGTTTAAGGGTTGTGTTACGTAATGGCAGCTGCTTAAAAGTTAATTTAAATTTTATTACTCTGTTCTCATTTTTGTAGCGCGAGATTATCTTTGTTGCCCGGTTTTAAAAAAAGCCTCCGCAAGAGTTTAGCAGTGAATTATTTTTAACTCTTTTCAATATCTTAATTGTGTTTCTGTTTCCATGACGATAATGACGATGATGATGACGATGATGATGATGATGATGATTATTATCATATTTTATTTAATCCTTCAATTATTTGATTGACTCTTTCTTTTGTTCTTCATTCTTACATGTCATTCTAACCATGACCTCACCACGCACACTGTTACTAGGCACGCACGCACGCACCGCATCACACACGCGTATAATGGCCATTGAGTATCGGACAGACTGCATTCGAACCAGGCGTGACACGGCACTTCTAACGACTATTGTGTGACAATATTTACTATTTGCATGCGATACTGTGTTTCTATAATAATTTATCTTCTCATCAGCATCAATATCGTCATCAAGGTCGTTGTAATCGTCATCAACAACTTCATCATCACCAACAAATTCATCTTCGTCCTCATAATTCGTTCGTGAACCAAATGATAAGATGATAACATCAGAGCCTACATTATTACTAACAATTCATCATCATGTTTTACATCCTCAACAACCACAACAACATCAACAACAACCACAAAAACATCAACAACAGCCACATAAACAACAAAAAAAAACAACCACAACAATAATATCAACAAAAACATCATCATCAAAGTCATCATCAACAACACCGTAAATTACTTTACTATCATAATCAACATCACCAACGCAGTAAATAACATTATATTTTCATAAATAAAAAAAACATTGATAATAATAACAATGGTAACAACAACAACAAACAACCACAAATAACAACAACAAACATCTACATCAACAGCAGCAACAACAAAAACAACAACAAGCAAACAACAACAACAACAGCAACAATAACAACGATAATAATAATAACAATAAGAAACAACAATATTAATAATAATAGCGACACTAACGTCTGCAATAAAAACAACTTGAAATATTGTGAAATAAAATTTAAGTCTTGGAACTCGTAAAATTTAAATGGTTGTATACATGTATGTATGTATATATGAATGTATGTATGTATGTATGTATGTATGTATGTATGTATGTATGTATGTATGTATGTATGTATGTATGTATGTATGTATGTATGTATGTATGTATGTATGTATGTATGTATGAATGTATGTATGTATGTATGTATGTATGTATGTATGTATGTGTGTGTGTGTGTGTGTATGTATGTATGTATGTATGTATGTATGTATGTATGTATGTATGTATGTTAAAACCAAAACATGATGAGTGACACTGAACCGTCAAACATCAAGTAACAAGTGGATTAACACTTTGATTTGTCGTTAATTGCACATGTCGGCATTCAGTTGGATATTTTCAAGCACACAGACACGCAGGAACCGCTGCAACAAGCACGAAATGTGGTTAGTTGCGAAAAACAGTTCCCTGCTGGCCCCTGATCTGACGCTGATCATTTTACATATTGCCTTAAGAAATTTAAGGGTGTTGGGGTCCATCGGGCCGAGAACCTCGATACATATTGGCAAGAATTCCTTCGAGGGGAGGGCGTTCCCATATTTTTTCATTTTCTCGTCCGCTGCCCTGGCCGCGGTCAAATCGCATTTTTTACTTGTCAGGTTTACATATCGTTTGGCAAGGATGCCAGGAACCGTAACATCCCACGCCAAACATCTACCGGCTTTCCAAAGTATTAGTGTGCATCCGTCCGGGCGCCTACCATCATGCGCAGAAATGCCGGATGGTTCCTTGAGAACCGGGATTGAAGCCTTGGAAAAGAGCCGACAAATGTAGACGTTTAATGCTGTGTGACGTAGTTGACGGCCCCCACCCAGGCGACAAACCAAACCGTGGTGCCCAAACTCGTCTACCCCAGCGCCACATCGGCACGTACATTTATTTTGGATGACAAGGCCAAGTCTGAAGCCAATAGCAAATCTCACAGACTCGTCGTCAAGCCTGGTGCCCACAGAGGTGTTGGGCCACGATCTCAACTACATGTATGTATGTATGTATGTATGTATGTATGTATGTATGTATGTATGCATGTATGTATGTATGTATGTATGTATGTATGTATGTATGTATGTATGTATGTATGTATGTATGTATGTATGTATGTATGTATGTATGTATGTATGTATGTATGTATGTATGTATGTATGTATGTATGTATGTATGTATGTATGTATGTATGCATGCATGTATGTATGTATGTATGTATGTATGTATATATGTATGTATGTATGTATGTATGTAATGGCATGAACGTGTTTCTTTCATGAATAATTCATAAGTAACTGAAAAGCAGAATTGAAATATGTGAAGACGTTGTTGTAGTTGTTTTTGTTGCTGAAGATGATGGGGATGTTGTTGTTGATGCTGATGTAGTTGTTCATGATGATGATGTAGTTGTTGCTGATGGTGATGATGATAACAGTAACAATGGTGATGATGCCAATAGTGTTCTCAGTTATGATTATGATGATAATAATTGTATAAATTTATACAATTAGCTACAAAAAATTATGTTGGTTTGAATGTGTGCAGGTGCGTCTATATGCATGTATGTATGTATGTATGTATGTATGTATGTATGTATGTATGTATGTATGTATGTATGTATGTATGTATGTGTGTATGTTTGTTTGTATGTATGTGTGCATGTATGTTTGTTTGAAGTATGTATGCATGTATGTGTATGTATGTTTGTTTGAAGTATGTATGTATGTGTATGTATGTTTGTTTGTACATATGTATGTGTGTATGTATATTTGTTTGAAGTATGTATGTATGTGTATGTATGTTTGTTTTTATGTATGTGTGTTTGTTTGAAGATATTTTTTATAAAGAGAAGTGTTTTAGATATTTTGAATATTAATAATAATAATCAAGATGGAATTTGCACGATATCACATGTTAGCGTCATTAGGTTGTGAAACCTACTTTTCTTATTTGTATGAACGTTATCGTTCCGATTATTATTATCATTTGTCATTAAAATCTTGCTATTGTTATTATTATTGTTGTTTTAATTAATTTATTATTATTATTATTATTATTATTTACAGATCTTAAGTCATGTTTTAATAAAATGACTTTACTATTATTAAAATAGTCCTATAGGACTATCAACAACCTGAGATATGCGGATGACACAACTATACTCGCAGAAAGTGAGAAAGACCTGGAATACTTGATCCAACGAGTTCAAGAGGAAAGTGAACGCATGGGACTGTACCTCAACATCAAGATAACGAAAGTAATGACAACGGCATGCAATGATGCAGTAAACATCAAGATCAACAATGAACAGATCGAGACAGTACAAGATTTCATTTTCCTGGAAGCCAAAATTGACCGAAACGGCGAATCTGGACCAGAGATCAAAACGCGGATTGCACTCGGCCGGGCTGCAATGCAAAGAATAGATAAAGTCTGGAGGAGCAAGGATGTGAGCATTGCCACGAAAACGAAACTCGTCAACGCCATTGTCTTTCCCATAGCAACTTATGGATGTGAAAGTTGGACAATCAAGAAAGCGGAAAGAAGAAAGTTTGACGTTTTTGAACTTTGGTGTTGGAGAAGACTACTGCGTATCCCCTGGACATCACGGACAACAAATAAGACGGTCTTAGACCGTATCAAGCCAAAAATGTTGCTTGAGGGCAAAATCGTCAAACAACAACTCTCTTTTTTCGGCCATGTTATGCGCGCAAATTTGCTGGAAACTTCAATGATGCTAGTTAAAGTGAGTGGGACAAGAAGAAAAAGACGGCAAAGAATACGTTGGCTTGATACAATCACATCGGCCATCAAAATGACGATCTCAGAACTTAAAATAATCGTCGAGGACAGGAACGCATGGAGAAGACAGATCCATAAAGTGGCCGAAAGTCGACTTCGACTAAATGGCTAATCAGCAGCATCATCATAATCATCATTTTTAAAATGTATTATTATTATCAATATCATGTAATTGCAATCATAATAATCATCATCATCTCCAACAATCATCATCATCATCATCATCATCATCAACAATCATCATCATCATCATCATCGTCCTAACAATCATCATCATCATAATTTTCCTCTTCTAACGCGCAAACAAAATGTTATCTGCCAAGACAGATCAATCAATTAACTGACCGTACAATTGACATTTTCGTGGCTACTACCATTACTACTAGTATATAACTACTACTACTAAAGCTACTACTGTTACTACTACTACTATTACTATTAAGGCTACTGCCATTATTACTACTACTACAACTGCTACTACCACCACTACTACTACTGCTACCACTACTACTATTATTACTACTGCTACTACTATTACTAATACTACTACTACAACTACAACGACTACTACAGCTACTTCTACTACTACTACTTCTGCTACTACTATTACCACTATTACTACTACTATTACCAATTATATCAACAATAATAATATTAATACTAATACTGCTGCTGGCACTACTTTTACTACTACTACAATTTTTAGTAATGATGCAATATTCCTGGTAGTAGTAGTAGTAGTAGTAGTAGTAGTAGTAGTAGCAGTGGTAGTAGTAGTAGTAGTAGTAGTAGTAGTAGTAGTAGTAGTAAGAGTAGTAGTAGTAATAGTAATGGTAGTAGTAGTAGTAGCAGCACTGCAGTATGTTCGTCTAATTGAGATGAACGACGTAGCGATGACGACCGGCAGAACGATTTATTAAGACATCTGTCACTCTATTAAATCGTTTAAGAGTTGTAATAATACTACCTGGTAATTACAGGCTTGGCTGGTAGCAATAATGGTTTTAGAAGTGGTAGTAAGGGTAAAGTGTTTAAAGTAATCGTAGTAGTAGTAGTTGTTGTAGTAGTAGTAGTTGTAGTAGTAGTACCGATTGATATTGTATTGGAAGTAGTAGTTGAAATAGTATCGAGAATAATAGTATTAGTAATAGAAATATTAGTATTAGTAATATGCAAAAATATTTGCAATCATTGATGTTGTTGTTAGATTCATAATCAATTAATTACTAATTAAAATGTAGTAACACTAGCATGAATTAATGTTAGCTCTGTGAGTTAGAGTGCCACATCCCGCAACGATGATCTACTTGGTTCAAATGCATAGCTGATTTTTAATTCAAAATTATAGTCTTTGAGAAAATTTTGGCATATAGTAAAAAATAGTAGCTGAAGTAAGCGTCATAATTTTTGTCGGTCGTAACATTAGTAATGATGAACCATTGCCAGAAGAAGTAACAGTTGTAATAGCGTTCTTATTGTGACAATATTAAAAGTAGTAGTAGAAGCAGCAGCACCAGTTGTAGTAAATACAGATGTAGTAGTAGCAGAGATGGGCAAATTACACACTATATTGTAATTTCGATACCTATTACAAATTACATTAATAAAAGAGCCAAATTACTAATTACAAATTACTAATTTCAAATTACTAATTACAAATTACTAATTTCAAATTACTAATTACAAATTACTAATTACAAATTACTAATTACAAATTACTAATTACAAATTACTAATTACAAATTACTAATTACAAATTACTAATTACAAATTACTAATTACAAATTACTAATTTCAAATTACTAATTACAAATTACTAATTACAAATTACTAATTACAAATTACTAATTACAAATTACTAATTACAAATTACTAATTACAAATTACTAATTACAAATTACTAATTACAAATTACTAATTACAAATTACTAATTACAAATTACTAATTTCAAATTACTAATTACAAATTACTAATTACAAATTACTAATTACAAATTACTAATTACAAATTACTAATTTCAAATTACATGAAATTAAATTACACCAAATCAGTTTTGAATAAATGAAAAAAAAATTTCTTTGAAGTTATTTAGACATTGATTTTTCTTTGCGCTGATATTCTTTGATGTCGTTTTTATAATCATTTATTAAGTTACTTTCCTTCTATCAACAATTTGTTCAATCAAATCAAATCAAATCAAATTTATTCAATCAATCCAAATTAATAATAATTAGGTAATGATTAGGAGACCAAAGCTAAAAGAAAACAAAATTCTTGTGTCGCAGGCCACCGTTCACAAATTGTTCATTCTAGCACGATTTTTAAGTAAATTCATAATTCATGACAAAATTAACATAATGCCCAATTTACATGATTCTAATTAAATAAAAATTGTACTTTTTTTCAATAAATATTTCTTTATTTTGTTTTTAAACAAATGCAAGGAATTTGTAGTCTTTATATCAACAGGAAGTTTCTCCCAGATTCCGGGACCGGTATGTTTTAAACTTCCACCAAGCAGTGTTATTCTTGCAGGTGGTGTATAGAGCAGAGGAGAATGTCGAGTGAACTTTGACTGCACAGCATTTCCGAATTCGAAGAAGTCATTAAAAGATGTTGGTAATTGATAATGTAGGAACTTGAACACAAAGATAGAAACATTAACGAATGACTGAAGAAAGAAAGACACTATTCACCGCTACTTTCATTTTCATATTCTTTTATTAATTTACTTTCTTTCGATCAACAATTTGTTCAATCGTTTAATGAACGACTGAAGAAAGAAGGAAAGAAAGAAAGAAGGAAAGAAAGAAAGAAAGAAAAAAAAGAAGCGTCAAACATCAAAGAAGTAAACTTCTTTGATGTAGCTATGTGACCATAAAACTTCAAAGCAGCAAATGAAATTTTGAATCAAATAAATTTTTAGAATTTAAATAAATTTTTAGAATTTCAAGAAAAAAAATTGTTTAATAATAATAATAATAATAATTTGTGTATGTATATCTGATCACTCACATATAAACTATATTTTTTAGTCAAAATGTAATTTGATTAAATTACAAATTACCAATTACTTAAAAATTAATTTCGATACAAATCACAATTGTAGTTTGAATTACGTAATATCATTACTTGAAATACATTACTGCCCATCTTCTCAGAGTAGTAGTAGTAGTAATAGTAGTAGTAGTAGGGGTGGTAGTAGGGGTGGTAGTAGTAGTAGTGGTAGTAGTAGTAGTAGTGGTAGTATCATTTCTTCCAGAAGCACCTGCTATTTTAAATGAGCTATAAAATGATAGCTATAACCGTAAAGCATGTATCTAATACTTGCCTTTCTTGCATTATTAGTGTTATTGTTGTAATTGTAATATCAACAATGTCAGTAATAATAATATAATTATATTAATTATAACAATAAAACAACAATTAATGATAATTCTATTACTACTACTACTAATAATAATAATAAAAATAATATAGAGAAATATATTAAAAAAAATTAAAATATAAAGAAAGACAGTAGCAGTAAAATTACATTGAAAAATAATTTTCTGTTGTTATAAAATTTATGGTTTCAATTAAAAAAAAGTG